CCTGTTCTTCTAGTCCTCAACTTACAACAGTTTATTTAGTGACAGTTCAAAGTTACAACGGCACTGAAAACAGTGACTTACGACCATTTTTCAGTTATGGCCTTTGCAGCATCCCCATGTTCATGTGATCAAAATTCAGATACTTGGCAACAGGTTACGACGGTTGCAGTGTCCTGGGATTATGCGATCTCCTTCTGTGTCCTTCTGACAAGCCAAGCTGATGGGGAAGCCAGATTCACTTAACAAATGGTTTCTAACTTATCAACTGCAGTGATTTACTTAATAACTGAGGCAAGAAAGGTTGTAAATTAACATTTGCAATTAACAAATGTATCACTTAACAACATAAACTTTGAGCTTTATTGTGTCTGTAAGTCGACACTACCTGAACTTTGGAGGTGACAAGTTTTAGGACTCCCTGTAGAAGAGCCTAATGCTGGGAACGATGGAGGGCAGAAGAAGAAGGGGACGACAGAGAATGAGGGGGCTGGATGGAGTCACTGAAGCAGTCGGCGTGAGCTTCAATGCACCCCAGAGGATGCTAGAGGACAGGAAGGCCTGGAGGAACATGGTCCATGGGGGCGTGATGGGTCGGACACAACTTCACAACTAACAACAAACGTTTTAGTCATGGCACTTAACCTGCTTTTATCTGTGTTATGTCTTTCCAGAAAATCCAAACCCATCAATGCCCAAAGCGCCCACATAATTGTTATCAGGAACACAAAAACCCTTTCAATCCCATATTCCAAACTGCAATATAATTCAGAAGAAGGGACTAGACAGCCATTTGTCNTTAACTCTGTGCCTATATTGACTATATATAAAGTGTTTTTCCCACGGCACACCTTACACTATGTCACGGCACACTAGTGTGCCGCGGCACAGTGGTTGAAAAACACTGCTCTAAGGAAAGGAGAAACTTTGCAAGTATGAGGGACCAAGAGTTGGCCTTTTTCTCTGCATTTCTGGGGCTTCTATAGGGAGAACCATGGCTCATCAGCGGGTGGGTGGGACTTTTGTTGGAACTATGCACACTGGGAGGGAGGAATGGTGTCAAAAAGGCTGGCCAATTTATTTTGGCAAACAAGTGACCAATATTTTCATTACTTCCAATAAATCCGCTCTGACAAAAAGCGTAAGCCTTTATGTCATGAGCCACCTCAACTTCACAATCCCCTTGTAGATTGGGAACTTGGCTTGCCTTCATCACCACACCCAGAAACCTTCGCTCCTGCTGGTGGTCAGCTGAAGGGAAGCCAATTGCAAACTACAGAGCAAGCGGATTTCACAGATATATATATTTGAAGGAAGAATCAGCAGCCCTTCCTGCGACTGTGCTACAGGCCTGATCCCGGGGAATAAAATACCGGCTAAGAGACACCGTCACTGTCAGCTGAAGTTATCAGTTTTAAGGAGAGACAGGCTAGCAGGTTAGCGAGTCTCTTGGTACTTACTAAGTGGTAGATTCCAGGAAAGGTCCTTGTCTGGTGGGAGAGAAATCCAAACAGGCTGTTAACAACCCCATGTTTTTCCTCCCCAAATCTCTAGCCCTGGATGTCCCCCCCTTTCCCCCCCCCTTTTAAGTATTTACAGGAAGATTCAGTGGTCATATGTCTCCTTAAAGACAAGAAGACTGCTGTGGCAGAGTTTGTGTGACACATTCACCCAAGGTCAGTTGAAGCATTCCTGGGTGCCTCTGTACCATTTGCTCAACTTGGTTACTTTTTCACCTGGGTTGGTTTTGCAGAGGTAGCTTAGCCTGTTGCAAATCCCTCTGTTGTGTGAATGGAGGAAACAGATTAAATGTTAATGTTGCAAATCACTCTGTGTGTGTGTGTTGTGTGTGTGTGTGTGTGTGTAATTCCTGCACCAGGACAAGCAGCCGAACTCAGCTATTTATTGGGGATCGTCACCCTATTTTTGAAAAACATGGAAAGCTATTGGCACCAAGCAAAAAAATTACACAGTGGCCTTGGCCCACACTTATTTTGTGGATTATTCACAGAAAGTGATCACCCCATTTCTCAGAGTCTGGAAAAAGTGCACACAACAGACTTCTAAGCTTGTGAAGCAGAGGCAACTTGCCGTGTTCAGTCGCTACACTCTCCCTGGTGTCCCTGTCTGGTAATAAGGACGGGTGGTGGGCATCTTCTACGCCACTCTGGGATTTGAGATTACACAACATAAAAGCTACCAAGGTTGACCCAAAGGTGCTTTTTTGAAAAGGCAACTGGACTTCCTTGTTTTTGTTTGAAGACGTTTCACTTCTCATCCCAGAAGCTTCTTCGGCTCCGACTGGATGGTGGGGAGTGGAAGGATTTATACTCCTTGCAGACAGCTGGGCATTTGCATCCTTTTAGAAGGTTGTTAAGGGCACCTGGAAGTTTGTGTCCTTTGGGTCACCTGAGTGGTGCAAATGGGGGTGGACCCTGCTTGGAAGTGCGGAAAGGACTGTTTTGTAGATTGGAGATAAATGATATCGTATCCCTCACCCCCTCTGTTGAGAGAGGGCTCTTCAGTTTTGACCTAGATGGCCTCTTTGACCTCTCTTTCAAACCAGAGGTCCTCTCTGTCCAAAATTTGCTGTCTTCAAAAGAGTGATTGAGGACATGGATAAACATCCAAGGGGCCTCAATGCTCTCTAAAAGAATGCAAGGAATAGAAATCCTCTCTTTCTCCATCATCCAGTCAGAGCTGAAGCAGCTTCTTGGATGAGAAATGAAACATCTTCAAACAAAAACAAAAAAGTCCAGTTGCCTCCTGAAAAAAGCACCTTTGGGGCAACCACAGCCTAGATGACTGAGAATCTCCATAGATGTTTGCCAAGGTTGAGAAACTCTACTTTATGGACATCTGCAAGGTGGAGAGAAGGACCTTGGCCTCAGGTAAATTTTCTCCCTGTGCAGTTGCTGACCCCAGTCTCACCCTTGGATGGTTATTTTTGTTAGCAGGCATTGGTGTAAGCCGTGACAATTGAGGACCCAGAGTGGCAGCCATTCTTTGGGGTCAAGAAAGAGCAACTGAAGGGAAGAAAGAGAAAGTGGCAGAATGGGGATTGAACCAACCCAGAGCCTATTCCCAAAAGAAAGATCAAGGATCAGGAGGTGCCGACTTGTCAATAGCAAACGCTTACCATGTTCTCTACCATTGGTCCTGCCGTCACATTCATGGACTGCAGCTCCAGGTCTCCCTCAACCTTAATAAACCGCACACCTTGTGCTGGAATTCTGTGCCTGAAGACGTAGAAGTGCTTCCCATTCACCAGGATCTGTCAGAGGACCAAGCAGAAGGGATCAAGTCTCATTTGAGATCGTCCATTTTATTTGCAGGAAACATCTGTTTATTCGTGGCACAAACACATCCCAGCCGAAAGCTGAGCAGAGTGGCCACAGAAGGGGGTTAAAAAGGTCATAAATAAGTAAATGTAATAAGGGAGAGGCCTTTCTTTTCACTGATAACCATCTTGCCCCCCCCCCCCGCTCTCCCCTGGACCAAAATGTTTTCCATTCAGCTACAGGTCCTCCTCCTTTAGCGAGTGCATTACGACAGTGATGAAATATTAACTTAGAGATACAATCTATTTATGGGTCATTCCAGACAAACAGCAAATTCTGGAGGGGGAATCAAGAGGTCCCTGCAGTCTCAAAGGGGCCTCCTGTCGCATGTGCCAACCTGGTATCCGATCTCAGTGACAATGAAGATGGCCTCAAAATGCTCGCCCTTCTGGAAGGGCATCTTGCGGATCTCTTCCTTCTTCCACCTGTGAAACTCAAACGTGTTGAACACAACTTTATTCCCCCACTTGAAGCGAGGGTTGAAGTGACAGGCAATATTGGCCCTTTGAAGTTTTGCAACGGTAAAGTCCACAGAGAATCTGGAGCAAAGGAGAGAAGGAGAGAAAAATAAAATGGGGAAGGAGGGAGGGTTTACAGCAATCTCAGAGGAAAGTTCTGCTCCCCCCTCCTCGCTTCTCCGTTGCTCTGAAGCTACAATCTGTAGGTTAATTTTGTTTTGCTTTAAGAGAAAACTCAAAATTTCTAACCCGCATAGCTTACTTAGAGTTTGGAAGAAGCAGGAAAATTAAGAAAGGCAGAATTTGGATTATACAAGCTATCCTTAACAACCTCTAGGCTGGAGTACTGCAATGTGCTCTACATGGGGCTGCCCTTGAGGAGTATTCGGCGACTTCAGCTAGTCCAGAATGC